TCAAGGGTTGCCATGGAGATTCACTGGATTCATTCGACCGACCGTGAGAAGCGAACACAAAATACTCTTACCGTTAATATGCTGAACGTCTGATCCAAAGCCCATTGAAGACACTCAGTAGCTTTCCGTTGACTTCAATGAGTTGTGGATGATGTCTCGAGAGCAGCACTTCATAGCTCATTTCTTATCGCATTGAGCCCTTTTATGTCCTCTGAAAGGTTCATAGTGAAGACTTTGAGAAGATAGGTCTCAGGTGATCAAGCTTTTAAGGTATGCTTAATTTTAAGCATAAGCAACCCAATGACTTCAAATCCAGTAGGATGTTAGAAGAAAAAGTCTTTCCATCACCACAAAGGCAGAAAAAATCCCCCTGGCTCTAAAACCGAATACCGGAGTGAAGTCCGTGGTACAGCTGTACCTTTTTTTCAGTCAACAAGCTACATTCTAAAATGTGTGGTTCGGTTATGCTCACGAACCATCGCTCAGCTTGTTTTCTTAAAAAAATGTAATGCCATACTGTTTCACTATTAAAAATAAATTTCAATATAGTGAAACATTCTGTCAGACTAATAAAAAGCATCTCTTTGACATTTTTTTACCTTTTTCCAAACTCTTTAAATGTTTAAGCAGACAGCTCATCAATGACATATTGCATAAACGCTTCACTGTGAGAAATAATTTTTCATGATGAATCTTTAAAGTGCCAGAATATCTAATAAGTTAAATTTTGATTTTCTTTATATGACAAATGCTTAATAGTTGTCTTAGAGTCTTTCTGCACTATGATTTTTATCTGTATTTTATTATGGTAACAATAACATCTGATATACTCCCTCATATCTGTCTTGTTCTTTCTTAAGGTCAAAATTACATCCAGAGCTAAAAGCAGCAAGACATTTCTTCCTTTCTTCCTCTCAGTATTTTAAGGCAATAAATTACTATCTACAGGCAAGTAATAACAAATTAGAAAATCTAAACGTGATATATATATCTACTTTAATATATGCTTGGTAATCAGAAAACCAAGTATTGGTATATTATTACAACAACTAATTTTCAGTCTCGCAAGTAAATTAGATGCTATTACATCAGGCTATTTAGTTGCCTTTCTCGCCAATAATCTGTGAAGAAGAAAAAAATGTTAATTCCTCCTCCTGTCTTCAGGCAGATTTCACTCGTTCATATTTTATTGGATTTGCTCTTTTCATTTTCACCTAGTGGTGAACCTTAGCTGCCTCCTTCAAAGGCACAGACCATTTCCAGGGAGCAGAGGAGCAGCAGGCAACGTGCAATAACCTGCACGGCCCTTTGCAAGGTGCCCTTCCAGGGCTGGGGCTGGGGATGCAGCAGAGGCTCCTGCAGCTGCAGGGCAGCGGGACAGGCTGGCTGCTAAAAATAGTGACTGCTATGCTCGAAGATGGCTCTTACAGCCCAAAGACAGGGACTCATTAGTGGAAACTTAATGTCCAAAGCCTCCAAAGGTAGATACAAGTTAGAGTAAAGCAGGGTAAAAAAATCCCTATGGATTCAGGGATTCTGCATGTCCTTTAAATGCATTTTAATGTGTTTTACCAAAGGATGAATGATCAAAAAAGAAGAAAATACATAGTATTGCTAGGTCAAGATTGCATAAACTATAGCAGCTGCACTTTGAAAGTGCAGGTGTAGAGGATGCCTCTCACTCAGCCTCGTCAGTGAACGAGCATCTCACCCATTTGTTTGGCAAATGGGTAATGGACAATGCAGGGGAAAACAGCTCGTAAACCTGGGAAGTGGCTTGGCTATGAGATCCACCGGGCTCCCTGGAGGTTAGAAAATGAACACGGGCATTAGGGTGCTGGGTGCTGAAGGTGACGCTGGAGGTCACGCTGATGGGGTAGCAGAGCTCATGCCTTTCTCCCAGCCCCAGCGCGCTGCAGAGACCACCATTCGCTGCCCCAACACCTCCAAACCACTTCCCAAATCCATCAGTCATGACACTGCTTATGTGAGACGATAGCTTGGTGAAGATAGCTTCTCATTTTTCAGATAGAGAAATGGAGTAGAGATGAAGTGACTTATCTAAGGTCACAGACTGAATTACTATCAAAGGCCGAGACTGGCCAAGGCATTCCCGGCTTCCCGACTTGCTCCTCAGTCCCTAGACAAAGCATTACTCTTCCTACCCTCTAAACTTGTTTATCCTTTCTCTTTCTCTTAGGTTAGCCGAGAAAAATAGTAAAGAAAGTCAACAAAATATCTTTTCACAGAGTAATGAATCCCTGTTCTCCAGAAAGGAATATAATTAATTGCAGCACATTAATTATGCTGTAGGCTAGCATTCCTATAGTTGTTCCTATTGTCCTCTTTGCACTGAAAAAAGTCATCTAATGTCATGTTTCCAGTTTCTGTCAGCATAAAAATTAATGTGCTCAGCAATGGCACCCTTAGATCCTTATTTTCTGACAGAGATCACTAGGGTTACTCTCTGTTCTTTCCAAAATAAAGCCACCTTTAAAGTTCAGAAAAGAGTTTAGCATTTCATGTCAAAGGCAGCATAAGCGCCGTGAGTTTTCAGTGGGTGGTGACGGCAAGATCAGGCCAGTGGTGACAGAACTACTTCTGTAAGTCAGCTAGATAATCTACATTTCCCAGGCTTGCTCAGTGTGATTTAGGTGAGTGCAAGACTTATGGCTCTTGGTGGCCTCCTCGTACCATCTTTTTTGTATATGCATATCCCTTGAGGTGGAGTGGCTTGTCAGGGAATGACTAAATCATAAATAATGGGCTTTTTCCAGTAGCTAAGACGCTATTTTTCTTGCAGCCCATACTTTCAAAAAAGGGGGGTGATGGTCTGTGCAAGCAGGACACCGGCTCTCCATCCCTTCTGACCATACCCTGCTCAAAGGCAATTGCCAAATCACTAAACGACTTGGTCATATACCTGCACAATAAATGAAGAGGCTGATTTTCAAAGCTACACGTATAGCTCTGTTGGCTTACAGACAACCTTGTTTATCATAGGTTACCAAGGCAGAAATGTATTTGATTATGTAGAAAAAAGTTAACTAAAATGGATGTGAAAGCCCAAGACAAAGATAAATCTGGACTTGTTTCGGTTTTTTTTCTTCCCTGAAAAATAAGTTGGGTGGTGATATGAGCTGTAAGGAGCGGGGCAGAGCCGCCCCAGGTAGCTGCACTGCGACAAAACACCTCCACCTCTCTGAACGCAGACGTGCACAGATGCAGAATACACATACTATGCCTGCACAAGGGCAGAATTAAATCCATGTTACCTTTTTTTCCTTAAGTACTGTTCGGACCCTGCACTCAGGACCTGTGTCTGAGGTCAGTACCTCTTGGCAGCACTTACCCACACGCTCAGCAGTCACAGGCCAGGAGTCATTCCTAGCCCTTCAGTTTTATGTGGCCAAAGGCGTTAAAATGCTGCTTCTTGGGCAGTTCTGGACAGTTGGAAAATTGCATTTGCAGCACATCTGCCATGGCTGAAATCACAGCAAGCCAAGAATGGAACGGGGCGAATGCCCTAGTGCAGTGAAACTCCTGCGGGCCACCGCGTCTGCTGGCCTGGGCTTCCTCCCATCCAGACATCACAGGAGTCAGAGTGCACGAGAATAATCATTACCGAGCATTTCCTTATCCATTTTTAAAGGTCTCTAGGTGCCACTTGACTAACAGCTGCAAGAGCTAAGCAACCTAGACACCAACAGTACCCAAAAGGAGTGTAAGTGTTTAAGCAGCTTTAAAAAATTACGATGCTTTAAACATTTCCGCGTGGACAAACGCAGACGGGAGTGTGTTTGATCTCCTCGAATCAGCCAGAAATTAGCCAGCTGCAGTCCAGAAACCCAGTATCACACTAGCACAGCTCCGTGCTCGAGTCACTTTTCTCTGTGGGCATCACGGAGGGAACGATGCCAGCTGGCCTTATTCTTGGTTTAATGATGATCTCCTGGGTTGTGATATTTAATAGGGAAATATTAGAAAGCATCCATATACTGATTTATTATTAGCTTCGCTTTGAATTCAAAATGCATTGCATGGACACTTTTTCAAGCCAATGTCACAGCTTGTTACACTGCACTTGGAGGAAACAGCCACAAGGTAAAATTCACACATATGTAACTCAGCAGAGTTCCTACACACCACTTTTACTTATTTTCAGACCAAACGACTTTTTTTTTTTTTCTTTACAGGAAATTAAAAAACCCCGCGTTGTTAATTACTGCACCACAACTGTAGCAGACGAGCAGAAACCGCATTTGGCACATTTCATCAGATGCATGTGGCCTAAGTAAGTCAATTAATCGAGGCAAAGGGAGCTGCACTGATACCCTGCTTTAGAGTGATTTCCCAGGACTCTTCTGGAAATGAGAAGACACATCTCAAGAGATTATGTCCTGCTAAAGTCATTTTAAATAACTATATGAAAAAGAAACTGTAAGTTACAAGTAGAGCCTGATTCTGTCTTTCACCAGTGGCCCTTCATATCTTCGGAAATCTGAAATGAAATGTAGTTTATATTAAAATTGCCAGAGCAGTTGTCTTCAAGTGAATGTGATTTGGGAGAGGAAAGAGCGGGCACGCCTTGCCCTGCCGGTGGGTTTGCCTCTACGGCAGAGAGGAGGGATGTCAGGAATACGCACCGTCAGTCCTCCCGCCAGGCTGCACGCACGCATCTGTTCAAAGCACAGGACTATTTTTGTATTAATCAACAGCAAGCTGATTAAATCTGTAGCGTTACAAAGAAGGGGAATTAACCAAGTGAAAACATTCATTTCAATACAAAACTTTGTGATACTGTAACTTCGGAAACAAAGCCCTTTCTGAGCAATTCCATCTGCTCCACTTGGCTTGTGCTCTTTGAAACAAACATCTGTTTACATGGTGAAGACACGGGTACATTTGTCTCTGTTGGTTTTATAATAGAAAAGCATTAAAATGATTTTAAGCGCGTTAAACATCAGATGCTAAAATCGAGAGTGGTTTTGAACATTTGTTTACGACTTTGCTCTTCGAAAGGAAGTTTTTTTAATTCCTGATCCAACACCGTTGCGAAACGACCTTTTATTGAAAGGCATCTCCAGGTAAGGCTTTAAAAAAGCCAGTTCTTCATTCCTGCCCACCTTGGCTAAGCAGTTATTCAGCA